GCCAAGTATAGTGTAAAATAAATTTGATTAAGTATATCTCAGATGAGTACATAAAAAAAGTAAACTGGAAGTATACTTTTTATTTATGTTTAAAATTAATATACTTATTGGATACTTTAATATACTACTTTTTGCTAAAGGTTTACTTGATGACACGGATGACTTCACTCAGTTTCCATGAATTTAGTAACTAGTTCTGCAGTTCAGGAGGTTGGGAAGCGTYGTTGGCTCATTTAGTGGTTGACGGTTTGCACTCAAAGTTTGACATCATCACTTTCCCTTTTTTTGTTGCGTGTGCAACAGCTGGCTCCTTAAATTGGCAATCAATCATCAAAACATTGAAAACCTCTGCATCATCACAGCATATGGTAACCATCATCATTAGACGTTCAGTTCAGACGAGGGGGAGCTCCACAAATAACCATTGCATAAAATAAATCTAAAACAACTTACACATTTATTTTTATTCTGTCTTCTGAATTGTCTGCATTTGTTGTTTTGCTAATTTATGCAAATTGCTCCATGGTTTGAACAATAAATGAAAACAGAAAGCAGAAACTCCCTGTGAAATATCTAAAAAAAAATCTTGCTTTGCTTCTTTTTGTCTGGATTTTAGCTTTTTGTGTCAGTGGATCCAGCATTTTCTGCTCTGTTCATGCCAAAAAGAGTGGGTGTGTTGCAACTAAGCATCRATATAAAACATTCCTCATGGCTCTGCTGGCTCACAGTGTCATTCATAAAAAATAATACAAGCTTCATAAACATGGCTGTTTATGAACACGGGCTTCAGCAGAAGACTGAAAGGGTAAAGCAGTGAGCTCATGAMAGGAGAAAAAGCAGAAATGAGATTTATGGAAATATGGAGAGAGTTAGAGAAGATGAGGATAAAACAAACAAACAAGACATGTAGAAAATAGGGAAGGAGTCAGGAAAATGGAAGAAAGGAAAGGACAAATAAAAGAAAGTGAAGGAAAGATTGAATAGTGAAAAAAGAACATAAAGATAAAAGAGTCGCCATGTCTTAAATCATATTTAAATATCTATGCATTTAGCTTTTATTTTCTTAATTGAATTGAATTCAATAGATTTATCATCAGTCTCTAATGCATTAAAAAGACATTTTGTGGTTTCATAACCAGTAAGTTCAACGCAGAAAGGAAACTGATTTACATTGTTCCCATCATGCCAGCCTTTTACACACAAACACAAGGATACAGTTTGCATTGTTTTAATTTTAAAAAAAAAGTTTGTAAAATGTGTTCCTTTAGACACATGATGCATTTGGTTTGGCAGGCCAAGGTTTCTGCAACATGTATTTGCTGTATGTCAGAAAATGTTTCAGATTTTCAAAGATCTGATATACTAAAATACACACTATCTCGTCCTAGATAGTAAGTGTAAACACTYAAGCAAACATTGCTAAAGGACAAATAAAACACTTTCAAGTTGGAAAAAGAGTATAGTGGCAAAGTACATTGACTTTGTTACAGTACTTAAGTATTTTTTTTAAGAATTATAACTTTAA